TATGTTTCAACAAAATTCTAATTAATATTCATTTCACTTTTACCAATTGAATGAAAATTTGATTAGCAACAAATTATAATCAGTTCGTTTCCTTTTTTTTCTTCTTTTACGACTAATAAAATAAGGTTTTATATTTTCTAAAAAATAAATATAAATAAACAAAATGAATATCAAAAATTTTTATTAGAAAATTTTTGCACACTTAATAACTAACAGGTTTCTTTTTCTTTGTTTTCTTTTTTTAGCATTGATAAAATTAATTTGCCGGCTTTTTCACTAACACATTTTATCAATTTTATTTTACAAATTCTCATTTCATTCCTTTTTAAGGTATTTCTTTCAAACATACATCATCGTTCACATTTGTTTTTTGTTTTTTTTTTTTTTATTTCTCTCTCCCTTTTTCAATTTTTTTTCTCTTTTCTTTTTTATATTGGTAAAGCAATATTAAATATAAAATTGACAGACGCGAAAAGTTTGTTTACAACAAAATTTTCGTTAAACATTGTTTTTTTATTTTTTCTTTTAATCATTTTCATTCTCATTTCTTCTCTGCTCATTTCAACACTTCCTGCCTCTTCCTCAAAGGTCAGTAATAGCAACAACAATAACAACAACAATAGCAGTAGAGATAGTAGCTGTAGCTGTTTTCCAAATAACCAATTCTTCTTTTTATGATTCTTTTTTCCTCCTTTTTTTGCCATTATTTGCAGTAAATCATCATCCATTTGCGCCAATTCCTTTTTTTTGGTTTTCTGTTGCGCCACCTTCCTCACTCCTATTCCACTCCTCTCCTTTCACCTCCTCATCCTCCCGTTTCTCTGTCTTTCCCTCTCCCTCTCTCTCTCCTCCTCCTTTTTTTTATTTTACACTTCCCAAACTAAGAAATCATTTGTTATTTTAGGAATATTTTCAGGAGTAATCATCATTATCATCATTTGTTGTTTAGTAATATTCCGGTTCTTTTTTTTGTTTATTTGTTTATTACCTTTCTCTACTTCTGCTTTTTTTTCTGTTGCTTTCAAAAAAAAGCAACGATTTTTTTATGTGATAAATAGTAATCTATTTTAATTTTAAATAACAATGAACTGTAGTAATGTAATAAAGATTACAGACAAATTGTTACAAAGATAGTGAATAGTTATTTAAATTATTTCTATTTCCTTTCTTTCTCCTTTTTTTTTTTTCAAGTATTTCTAGAATTAATACATTATTTATCAATTAAGAGTGTAAATATTTTTTAATAAACATATAAATTTATGCATAGAAAGGAAAAATCTTCTAATAATTTGTTATTTTTTTATAATTTAAAATTATTATAACATTTCTAAATATGCATGAATTAACATTTTAATAGATTGATCGAGTAATTGAGTAAAATATTGAAATTATCATAGATTTGTAATTTGAGAAATCGTATTGATGACAATGTATAGTTATTATATGACTTTAAATTAAAAAATTTGCTATTATTATTTGTTATTGTACAGTTAAAGGCATAACTCACACCTTTTTTTTTCTCTTTTTTGTTTTGTAGCAACAAAAAAAAGATTTTAAAAAAAAAGAAACTTTCAGAGAAGAGAAGATCATGTGAGCTCAGTTCTGTCTTACACGATAAATGATGATTGCTTTCACATTTTTCTATTTTGCACTGTTCAAAGATCTATTTGCTAAACCATTTTCTTATCTTTTTCATTCTACAAACAAATTATCTTTTTCAAATTTTGCAGTTTAAGTTTTTTTTTTTCTTGAAAGGTTTTGAAAAAGATGAAAAAAAATGCTATTTGCTGTTATAGCATGTGATTAAATTTATTATTTTTATTTTGCAAAAATTATGAAAAGTGAAAAAAGAAGAAAAATGAGTTACATTATAGAGAATTGCTATTTTGCAACTTTGTTAAATCAATTATTTACTTATTGACATTCATTAGCCTTTTTTTTATTGTTTCTTAAAACTTAATTTATTCTATTTTATAAAGTAGCAATAATTTGAAAGATATTAAAGCAAGTATACATGGGTGATTATTGAGATTATTTTAAATAAGCCAAGAAAAACTGTACTTTATCAAATTGTAATTATTACTTGAAAGAAGCCAAGTAAAAGTATCCTTTGAAATTGTAGTGACAAATAAAAATTATATCTTACCAAGTTTTAGTGATTATTTTGAAATAAGTCAAATTAAAAATCTATACCACCTATCATGTAAGATAATTCGAACTGATCAATAATATAAATCGATCATTGTTAATGGATTTTAAAAAGAAAAAACGTTTTATGTAAATACTTAAATGCTACTACCACTAGTGATCGATTCTCTCCAATCGTTTCGACGTAAAAACATTTTCTTTTTCCTCTTTCCTTTTTTTTGTTTTCTTTTCTGCAATCCATTAAATAACAATGATATCGTGAAACACATCAAATGCAATGATATTTATAAGAAAGATAAAAAAAAAATTTTTAGAAATGGTTTGGTTCATTCGTAACAAAGTATTATTTTTTAATATTTTTTTCAAATACTTTTGCAATTCAAAACAAAATTTAACCAACAAATTTTTCATTCTTCCATTATTTATCATTTTTCTTTTTTAACATTCATCTCATTTTTTTTTCATTGTTTTGTTTTGTTTTTGATTTGTTTTTATTTTTATTTTTGCTTTTATGTTTTGTTTTTCTCACAATTGTATGAGAGGAACAAAAAAAAGAAATGAAAAATGAAAAAAAAGGAACAAAAACGAGAAAATACAATTTGTTTATTTCGTTTCTGTTCTTTTTTTCTTTTTTTCTTCATATTTGTTGCACTATTTTTTATTGTTTTTTTTTTTTGTTTTTTTTATTTTTTTTATTTTAATCTTTTATCGTTTTTGTTGTATCAATACATAATTAATGGTACCAGAATCGTTTTTTCTTTTGCTGTAAGCATAAATTTTGCATAAATTGATTGATATTTCGGAAAAAAAGAGAGAAAAAGAAAGGAAAAGGAGAAGAAAAAATATTAAAGTAACTGAAATTGTTTTGCTGTTATTGTTGCTTGAATGAAAAGTGCGAAAGCAAAGCTTTAATTTAAAATTTTTGCTTATATTTTTTGCATATTCTTTGTAGCATTTAAGTATAATTAAACTTTCTTTAACATATTTAAAAAAAAGTTGTATATGATATTATTTTAAATGATGTATGTATTTCAATGAAGTTATCTGCTACAGTAACTTCTAATTCTTCCATCTTTAATAAGTTTTTTTTTTTTAGATTCTGTAATTCATGGATATTCCTGAACTTGAATAGAATCCTTGTTTGGCTTTTAGAATTGAATTGAGCTAAATGTTTGAAGTAAAATTGAAAAAATTCATTGGAATAAAAAATTGAAATCTAAATTCTCCTTGTTTTATATCCATAATTAGTATTGAAAAATATATTTCTAGCTTTATTTTGTAGTTTTACTTTTATTTTTCTTCTTCCTTCTTATTTATGATATACATTCATAAGAAAATTCTCTGCTAACTGCATAATTCCCTACAATTAAAATTGTTTTTTTTTTTCTCTGTTAAAGATTTAATGAAGCAAGACGAAGTTATTAGAAATTAAAATTTAGATAAAAATCAGAGATATTAATTTCCTCAAATTATTGTTATCGATAAAAATTTTTTAAGCTAATCTTTACAAATGCCTTACAAAATGCACCCCTTTTTTTATTCCTAGCATATAAGTTTGACCAAATATTTTCAAAAATTGAAATTAATAGAATTTAAATTATTAAAAAAAAAGGGCAGAAACAAGACTGCCATTTAATTAAACTAAATGATATTGTATTAATCAAAGTAATTAACGACTATTATGTTGTAATATATGGAATTATTTATTGTCTCATTTTGTTATTTTATATTTGAATGAAGATTTTGGAAGAAATAAAGTTAGAGAATTAATTTGCATAAATTTCTCTTCTACTAATGCAAGAGATAAATTTGAACATTTAAAATGATTATAATAAGTTATGGGATGGGAAATTTCAGTGATTTATCGTTAAAATTGTCCTCTGCGAAGTTACAACTATGTTTTGTGCTTTCTTATGAGAGATCAGAGGGTAAAATTAATATGAAATGATTGTAGCTAAGATTAAATAATTGATTATTATTAGTAGTAGTAAAGGATAGGATTTTATTAAATAAAACTGATAAATAAACAAATAGTACAACTTCATAACAATAATAACACTGTTAATATTATATATGCTTCTCTAAATTATTGTCATATTCTTTGTAATACTGTTAGGTATTTTTGTTGAGTTTTTCTTATATATATATATATATATATATATATATATATATATATATATATATAGTTTTAATTAACTTAAAATGAAAACGTTATGTCAAAAGGTCATCTCGAATGTTTTCATCTGTATATCTGTTAATGTCACTCACACCTTTACAGTCAAATAACAGTATTGCAAACATATACTTTCATACACGCTATACTTATAATTATTTTATTATTTCTATCAAAATTTGTATTGTGTGATATATTATTATAAGCTATATTTATCTTCTCATTTTCTTCATTTCTCATTCCAAATTAAAAATTTGTTTCTTATTAATCATTATGTTATTTGACAAAATTATATTATCTTTTTTCTTCTTGTTCCTTTTTTTCTTTATTCTACTAACGTCCTCTATCGTATTCTCTTTTATCCGTATTTTAATTGATCTATGTCTAATGCAATACTGAAAACTGGTTTTATGAATTTTTTATTTCAGAGTTTCTCATTTCTCATCTGAAGGGGATTGTCTCTGTTACACATATAATACCTAGTACCAGAAGATACAATATTATTTTCGATTCTGACTTTTTGATGATGCATTAAAATGAGAAACCAGTAATTGTGATATGTTTGAAGAATGAAATTTTATGGCTCTCTCTATCTAGTCACAATATTTTGGATGTCGATAGAGCAAGTGTCTGCACTGTTTATAGAATCGTTTTTGTCTATTTCAAATTAAAAGAAAAAATGGACAAAAAACGAACCTCAAGTTCAGTGGAAGAAGAAACAGGTGTGTTGAAATCGGGCTACGTTACAGCTGCATTTTCGCCCGTCGTAAGTGTTTTTTTTATTAAACTGCTGTTATCTTTATTCACTTTTTCATTTAATTTTTTTTTTTTTTTTTTTTTTTTTTCAAGCATTTACTATAATTACAGTCATATGAATCAGAAGCTATATCTTTAGTAAATCTAAATGTTTACTATCTTTCAATTGCACCAACAATTTCCGATTATAATTTGTATGTTTTTTGTCTTAAAAACGATAACAGTTATCTTTATCCGACAGTGAATTTCCTGGATAACTGTGTAATGTTTATTAATTTTTCAGAAAACAAAAAGGATGTATTACGCAGTATTGGGTCATCGAGCACTTGAATTGCATGAAAATGAAAAGAAATCTCAAAGGAAGAACAGACATCCGCGACATCTGATTGATCTCTCCACGTGTTTCAACATCAATCGGCATGTAAGCCGAATCATTATTTTCATATGTGAATTTAAACTTATTGCAACATAATACTTCCATTTACTTAGGATCTGTACTTGTTAATTAATTCGTTTAGTGATAACTTATCATTTGAAGAAATCGCAAATATTCGTTTTTGCAGAAAGATAAGCTTTAGCTTTCTTCCACTATCTGCAGAATGAATAGTTGTAACCTTTTCCAGCAGGAAATTTCTACTGAAATAGTTATGTCCGTTCAGTTAATGATTTCTTTCAGTGCATCTGAGTTCAAATATTTCCAACAGATTAGGCTATTCTTAATGTTGAAAATCACTGTGAATTTCTCACTGATCAGCGAAATTAAGGAATATTATTGCTAGCAACAATTTTCTACTAACTGACTGAAAGATTGCTGACTACTCAGATTAGTTTTTTTTTTTCTTTTTTTTTTCTTTTTTTTTTTTTTAACAAGCGTTCTCCTTTTGTTAGGTCATCAGTACTTTCATTTGCTTTTTGAATTTCAAAAAAATATTTTTCCAATTTCAAAAATTTAGATAGCTTCAAAAGTATTAGTTATTTAAAAAATTTGGTCTGCACTCCCGTGTTTTATATGGTAAATTCCTCCACTACCATTGTTGATTATCACTGAAATAAAAATGAAGTGAAGTCAATTAAACTTTTTTTTAATACTAGACTGGATTAAATTTGTCTCATTGCGTTGTATTTTGAATATTTATCTTTGAAAAATCTTTATTATATCAAACAGTGAAGATTGTTTAGGAATGAATGTTGTATTTAGTTGCATGCAATATTTAATTTGTTAAGAGTGTGTAATATTTGTATAGGATATGTATAGAATAGTAGTGAGTGAACATTTTAAATTAACTGATCAGGAGCTTCGTGATAACGCTGATTTGTTTAGCGCATTGAAAATAAAGGCTGAACAAGTTTAGATAGGAATTACGGAAAGCTTAGCAAATTTTTGAGAAAGCAGCATAGGAAAGTGATATTTGTAGATCATCCTGATATAGCTGGAGACAGAAATAGATTTATATGGATTTATCAGGCTTATCAAGAGCTGAAAAACTATATTAAATCTTTAGAGTCAGGAAATCCCTGTGTTAAAGTTAACGCTAGTGCTTATTTAATTTTTGTATATAACTAAAATATTTTAAAATTGCATTACATCTTCCAAGTGACTCAGTTACTATTTTTTTGCAATATATTTTATATGGATAAATGTACTTAAAACTTTAAAAGGTTTTAAAAGGCTACAAAATATTAAGTGGGCGAGGGCTATTGTGACATCTCTTGCATCATTCTGCTTCAATTTCAATTTGTCTCTCCCGAATAATTTTTTAAAATTTCGTTTTCTGGAAGTATTTTCCTAATGAATTTGAACTAATCAGATTTTCTGCATATTTTGATGATAGAAAAGTTTTTATAGAAAATTCTCAAAGATATAGAAAATTGAATCATTAAAGCAGTCAATGCCCATTCATTATTCAGAGTGGGAAATTTAAATACTTCATTAAATTCATATCATTTCTTTTGTTATCATATATTAAATTTTTCATTTAAAAAGGATTGCTAACTGGAATATTTTTTTTTTTACAGTTTGATGGTCGATTGAAATATTGTATAGCAATTATGACACCTGATGAAACACTCGTTTTGCGAGCAGAAACAGATGTGTTGAGTGATGAATGGTACGATATGTTAATGTCTGCATTGATACCTGCACGAGCTTTACATCTTGGACGGCCCGTTCTCGCTAACGAATTTTTTGGTAAATTTCAATTCACTTATTATTTTTTTATTGTTAATAATATATATTTTATATACTATTATATTTGTATGCTGCACCGAGTTATTCAGAAGGCGTAAATTGATAGTAATAGAATTACTAAATATACCATATGCCTTGTCATTCAGAAAACCATGACTAGCAGTTGCATTCCAACGGTAGTCTGAATAGGAATTGTTGATTATCTTGGTAGTTTTATGGCTGATGGTAAACCCGAGATCTTTAATTCTGGCCTGCTTTCGCAAAGTAAAAAATATTGGAAGTTTTGTACAACTAATGTTTCTGTAATTCTGTTCGGTTGCTTATAATCCTTTGGAAATCTATTTTAAAAAAATATTACTTCAGAATGTGCTTGGGATGTAACGATGGTTGAACATCCAAAGTTCCGAAAATCAGTTAAATCTTCGGAGAAATTGATTAATTTATGTACAAAAGACCCGTCATTACTCGGGCCACATCGATTATGTTTCTATCATCATACGATAATTTTATGTCGACGAGGTATTGAGCCAGCACCTTCAGATGCTTTATCACAGTCAGGCATTCCACCGTTCAAAGTAACCGACTTTGTGGAATTTCCTGTAAGTTTTTCGGTTTAGTGTAATTACTCGTACATTCTATCACAGTACGAAATACCCAGATTCTTATTTGCTGAAACAAAACGTGCAGTTGAAGTTTCCTATTATAAAACAGATTGTTTTATTATTGTTCAAGCAATGACAAAGCATTTCTTCTGTCTTCATATTTCATTATGCTAGGATATTGAAGTAAAAAAAGAAAAAACTTAGCATTTCTTTACTGCTCTATTTTAGCGACAGTACATGGCTAGTTTTGGTTGCCAGGAGAGATATTTTTTTATGGTAATGGGCCGCTCATCACCATCTGGTTCCGGTGAATTATGGGCATTGTGTGATTGTGAAGAAGTAGCTGCAGATGTACACAACAAATTAAATAAAATTATTGAAGAGGAATGTGAGAAAAAGAAAAAAATGCCGAATGGGTTAGTTTGAATTTTGGATTTTCGTTCTTTCACAACTCTGTGATTTAAGGTAAACTCTAAACCTTTACATTTTAATATGCTCATTTGAAATCATTAGTAGTGGCTGCAGTCATTTCTAACAAAATTTAGTTTGTTGTAGCAATTACTTTTTTTTTCCATTTCAGTAAATTATAGTTATTTTTCCATGACAAGCATACATCTTCAGGCTTATATTTTATGTTTCCCCTCTCTCTCTCTCCCTTTCTCTCTAAATTGAGAATTCCTCTTCTGCTTGGTAAAGAATGTTTAAAATTTTCATTTATTTGGTTATATTTTTTTTGGTTCTCTTTTCCAGACCGTTACTGCATTTGACTTCTACGTATCATTCTCATCGTGACCGACTTCATACACACAGTGGACTTCGAAGAACAGGAACCACAATGTCAAAGTAACTTAGTTTAGCATTAGTTGTTAGACGAGAAAAACAAGTGAATGTTAATGAGCCACTCATTTTTTAAATTTCAGAAAGCAGGCTAATAATTGCAGATATATCTTTAAAAAAGGGAACTTGAAGTTGTTTGAAACTGGTTTTTTCAAAATAAAATATGGGAATAGTGGGGTTTCTAGAGGGCTTATATGTGATTATTTTAGAAAATTGACTCCTGATGAAATGTCACTGAAAGAACGGCGAGCCCAAATACGTGGTTACAAATGGGCTGCAGATTCAATTCAGGAAAGAGCACAGGAAGACACACTCTCGCCCAATGTTCCTTCCTTTCTGTGGTTTGATTCGACTACCACTGCTAGGTATATTTTATATTTTGCCAAATCATACGAAATTATTTTGGTATTTTGCAGAAGAAAATTTCTAAGTAATTATGTTGATGGGTTTACATATAACTTTTTTTTTTTGGAGTCGCTAATCATCTAATTTTTACAGAGGGAACTGTTTGAAGAATTCACGATCTGGGCAGAATTCGTTAGTTAGGAAAATTGATCGGACGCGAAGTTTTGAAACGAAAGTATCACTCTCCTCATCATCAGCAGTTCCTCGGTCACTTCTATTTTCTTGTTCCATAGATTATATATTAATCTATAATTTCAAGCTTCAATTTAATGAAAAAATGGTTTAAACTTTTTTTACAGAGCAGGAAATGAGAATAACTGCAAAACAATGAATGAGAAGAATAGTAAGGGATATTTCCCAGCAGAACTGTCATTAGAAAGTTTGGAGTGGTCGAATCTTTTTCGAAATCATCCCTCGTTTGCGTCATCGTCAGCTACGGAAGAAACTGAAGACAGGTAGGTTTTTTTTTTGATATATTATCTAAAGTAATGTTAATAAAAAGTTTATTTCAACATTGATTGGTTCGGTTCTTGATGTTTTTCGTGTTACTCTGGTTTATATTGGAGGTAAAGGCATAGTGAACATTTAGAAATAATGCTCCTTGTTTCAATTGAAATAGCAGGAAATTTTATGAAATGAATGGTTGGAAAAGGAAGGTGATGATTGTGTACAGGAAACAATAAAACTTTTAGATTTTAATATCGCTTCATTTCATTCTTTCCTTTCTTCATTTTTTGGGTTGCTACTTATGAGTAATGAATTCATAATTTGACTTATTCAATAGTGATTTTCATTTTATCTGTTAAGTCAGCTCTGGTTGTTGGTTATGTATACAATTATATTATTACCTTATGTACTCGAGGATATTTTCAAACCTTGTTTCATGAGATTTTAAGTTTGAAATCAAAGAAAATTGTAGTGGTGGCACATTACGGACCGATTTGGAAGAAACAAATCCTTCTAAAACATCCGTTGAGCGACAGATTAAAGCAACCATCGAACGAACGCATCCGTCCATATTAAAGCAGCAGTTCCTGCCTCATTCGGAATCTCGAAAAGTTATTTCGACAACCAGTGGATATCCCGAATGTGATGAACGAGCCGATGGAACATCATGTTCAGTTGCCGGAAGTACAAGTACCAATGATGATTTCTTGCAGACAACACCTGGCGAAAGTAATAATTATTGTATTTGGTAGTAGTATTGAAGAAAAGTGAAAATAAGAGAAATAAGTAAGACAAAACTTTTGTAAAATATCCTCTTACATTTAAAGCATATTTGTGTATTTCATTCGAAACCTTTAAACTTCTTTTGAGCATTATTAATAAACCGATTAACACTGTTGGCTTCCATTTGATGAGATCCATTTTTTCAGTATTCATTAAGCTGAGAGAGTTAGTCAGTAAACATTAGGGTTTCTAGTTTTCTATCCACAATGAAAAATATCCATACTGATATTTGCCTTATATAATAAAGATCGAATTAGCGAACTATGAATTATTTTTAGCAGTTAAATGGTATGTCTGAATTAACTATACATTATCCACCCTTTAGGACTTTAAAACTATACCATTTTTGTATATTTGCTACTAGTTTAGCCTGCTTTTTATCTACATTTGCTTTTTTTTGTTTTGATTTTATTTAATAAATCAAATTCTTATTTTTTAATATGATGAGAAATCATTCTACCAACCTTTGGATCGTTACTAAAAATTTTGTAGAGTAGAGGTTTGAATAGCTAGAGAATATATTGGTGTGCAATTTTGACGGGAAAATTTTAATTTGACTTGAATATTTCATACTTCTCATTTCATTTTGGTTTTTTTTCAGTGTCAGAGGATGCATCTGGAGATAATTTGGAGTATGCTCCAATGGAAATGAATTCATGGTCATCGGGAAGTGCATCACATCTTGGTTTGTCAATAGGTAATTGATTGTAACTTTTCACCGTGGTCATCATTAAGAAAAAATCTTCAGTACTATTTAAGACAAAGCATACATCCTCAAATTGAAGTGTGAGTGTTACTGGAGTGAAATGCTCTGCGAAAACAGAAGTTGGGATGAGAAAAGAAGATGATAGAGGTTAGATGCTACATAAGAGAGATTGAGCTGAAGTAGTTGACCGAATTTTCTTTTTGATTAAATAAGTTTTTCTTTTGTATAATTTGTGTTTTCAGGAGAGCCACAATTCAATTTTGAGGAAGTGCGATCATATGTATCGGATAGTAGTGATAGTTGCTATTCTTCAATGGTAGCAAACGGTGCACCGCGGTAAGTTTCTCATTCGTATGGTGTGGTAATTCTATAGAAGTTTACTTCTTCATCCTGAGGTAAAATCTTTTCATGAGACAGATATATTTTGCTCCATAAACATTTATTTTAGAGCATATTCTTTTGGTACGTCACATATTGTGCATCAGCAACCGCGGCGTTCAGGAAGAAAACTGATGCATCCTGAACATGGTTCACCGGCACCGGATTCCTTGTAAGTCATTGTTGCTGGCGTCTTACAAGTTATTATATTTTGAATCTCTTCATTTTTCTCATCAATTTGTCCTTCGTGTTATGCGAAATTGTACATTTTTGCTTTTGACTACTACTCGGTCATTTTTTTTTATAGGCGCAATAGTGGTACCTTACCGCAAAATGAAGATGTGCATCATTCGAATAAGCCATCACCGTCGACTTCTGCATCGCAAGAAGATGCTCGAAAGAGGGCTTTTTCTTTAGGCAGTAGCAAATCGTGGTTTCAGTATGTTAAGTTCAACATTTTTATATATAAGTAACTGTAGGTTCCAGAGAATGTCCCAAATGATGCGAGTAGGCAGATATTCATCAACTCGAAAAATTTTGTCTTTTAAATTTTGAACAAAATATTGTAGGAAACCATTTCGAAAGCTATCTCGAGATTTTATATCACGTGCACATCGTTTATCGAATACATCGCAAACATCATCAACAAGTTCAACCGGTTTATCACTCGTTCATTCGCCGAATTCTTCCTTTTTACCCTCAACACCTCAAGCGTTCATAGCTCCTGATCCATATCCAACTTCTCGTGGTGAGTTGTATCTGATTGTTTTTTTCTTCTGAAGACAAACGCGACATAGTATTTCCTTTCATGTTTTATATTTATTTTCTGCTGCTGTATATTATATTAAGTGATTATACTTGTGATCATAATAAATTAAATCACAACAAGATGCCTTCTAATCTTTATTTGATCACTTAACTGAACTCAGACACTTCGTTATGGTACAAATATTTATATCGAACTGCGATTTTTAATTGCGATTCTTAACTCTATGTAGATCAAGATGATATTGTTTCGTATTCGCCTGCTTTGTTCTGTCAAACTAGCTACATGACCGTATTGAATTTGGCTTGATTTTTTTAGTCATTTATGGAGAATTTTGGCTATATAACAAAAACTAACCAATAAAAACAGAGCATATAGCATAATTAGAGTTTTTTCAACAGAAAAAGTTAGCTTTTGAGAATTTTTTCATTTTTAATAATGGAGTGGTTATTTTATTTATTTATATTTTTTTCATTTTATTTTATTATTTTATTAGCGTAAATTTCAGTTCGATCTGGAAGCATAGGGTCAGGACTTTCAACCCCATATTCGAAACGGCATCTGAGTAACGATCCTACAGGCGATCATGTTCCAGTGGATTTTGGTGGCGGTGGCTTATCACTTGGGAAATCAGCAAGTGGTTCACTGCATAGTGTTGATAGTCCGTCAAGGTATATTTCTTTTATTTGTTTAATTTTGCTACCACTTTAAGCATTCCAAAGAATATGGTGAAATTATGGTTATATTTCTTTAAAATTATAAAGGCATATTGGTATGGAACATCTATATATGTGTTGTCGTATTTTTTTTTATAGATGACAAGTTGTCATGTTTTCTCTTTTCCAGATCAAGAACTTCATCGTTTGGTTGTGGACAACGATGTTATGGATTACGCGATACAAGCGATGTCGTTATGCATGCAACGGATACAGAAAGCGAGTGTGCTTCAGCACTTTCATCACGATGTACATATGAACGACGTAGGGAGCAACGTTAGTATTTAACTGTGTTTAGCAGTGATGATATTGCGTAGTTGTTTGATTCAATAGATGGAATATTAGCCACAAATTGTAAATTCTTAAAAGAAAAAAAAAGTTATAACAAGCAATTAGGAATATGAAACTAACATGTGAAGAAGCTTTGAAGTGTAATTTTAAAAAAGTAGAATCTTTAAAGATAAGGTTATAGAAGTTTGGTTGATAGTGATGAAGTATTATACAATATTTTATAGCACTTTTAGTTTCTCTTTAATATGTTGATTATTTCTTAGGTCTTATTATTCGTAAGAAATGATAAAATTACTGATTCTTCATAAGAAAAGATTGAAATTCTAGTGAAAGCAATTTCAGTCAATAGCTCAGTATGCATACCAAATGAATTTGATGAAACAGACGACTATGTCATAAGAGATCCAGCAAATGCGTCGGATATTCATATTAGTTCATCACGAGTTAGTCATGAAGGACAATTGTGTGCTAATAGTTATCCAGATTCTCGTAGTTCACAAATTTTTGAAACGATACAAGAAAGTTTATCAGGACGATCATCTCCTACAAAGTTTGTTTAATTTTTTCGAATAATTTATAATTAGGATATATTCAACTCAAAATAGTAAGACCTGTTAGATTTTTTAATACATACGGTCGAATGACAGCTAGTGGAAGAAATTTAATTTTAGAGATACTGATTCGATTGGGAGTTACGAAGAGCAGGAAGCCAGCGATAAAACGGATAGGAAGTCTGATAACAGTAAATCCATCGAAAAGAAAATTTGTAAGGAAGATAGTAATGATGGTGAAAGTGAGCAAGAACAGAAAAAAACATTGTGTTCTGGTCGTGATTTAGAATTTGTTCCTGTGGATGTAAGCTTCGATTTTATGTCGATTCAATAAAACCAGCAAATGTTCCAGGAAATAAGTTAAATTGAGCTGACACACCGTTTGAATTATATCATCTCATTTTTCCAATTTGATATGTCACATTTGAAGGTTTATAAGATTTCTATTATCACGATAATTGATAGGCAGTTCTTTTTTGTGAGAATGAGAATCACAGTAATTTAATCAAACTTTATACTTATGATCGCCTCTCAGTGATATTTTGAAAAATCAAACAAATCGTTACGGAATTGAGAAGGATTTCTGGAACATTTACAGTAACTGTAATCGAAACATAAATTTTAATTGGAATAAAAGTTACAAAAACTTTATATTTGGAAAAGCTGTTTGTTTTTGCAGCCATCTCAGTGATATTTTGAAAAATCAAACAAATCGTTACGGAATTGAGAAGGACTTCATGGAAAGTTTGAAGAAGTTGCACACGTCTTGGAATACAATTCGTAATTTCAAAAATATCAATTGGTAAAAAACGTGAAGTAAGTGAATGTATTCCTTGCATATATAGATATAATTCGTTGCAAATTTTGTTGCATCCTTCTATTTATTTCACTTTTACGAGATCCTTTCTCATCATATTCCGTAAAAATGCAATTTAATTTTTCATGTATGAAAACTTGAAATGTGATGAATATTTATGCTGCTTATTTTTTGTTACTTCGACGATCTCAGAAAAAGTTTTTTTCTTAATATCGTTCTTGTTCTTTTCACAAGGTGTTACTGAAATGTGGCATTACTATCAAGTTAATTATTATCCATTTTTGGATTTAGTTGTGCATGAAGCAAAGTACAGTTCATTTTACTATTATTTCACTTTTCACTTTATCTTCCTACTGTTTTTTTGTTTTTACTTAAAAAAGAGAAAACGATCAATGATAATGCTCTGTCTTAGGTTTTGAAGGATCTCAGTTTTTCTTTTTTTATTATTCAGAGAATTTTGTAATTTAATGGAATGATGATTCAGCCATAACAATGCATGTTGTTTGAAGTAAATGTCTTACTTCCACCATTATTCCTAACTAGAAAGTAGAAGTCATTACTTAAAGATATCAGAAATTCTCGTAAGCCTGCATTTTTCGTTGTCGTTGGACGATCTCAGTTGAGGTGGTGATGAATTCGATTGTCGGTCCTTGACTATAAAATTTTTGTCGCTTACAAACCATTACATTTTTTCTTTGGAGTAGTGAAATTTAATCCATTGATTTGCATATTAAATGTATTTTATGCTATTTTCTCTTTGTAAAATATTTTATTTGATTTTTGAAATCTTATTCGAGAAAAACTTGCGTCTCGGAATGCTTTCTGTACTGTATTTATTTTAAGCATTTCCACAAAGGCTTGTGCATTCTTTATTTCTATTGCTGATTGTTTTATTTAGATTTCTAATGACAAATATTGCTTTTTCTTTTTTTTTTTTTCGTTGTTCTTTGATTGCACATCAGGGCAGTGGCTTGATTACTCCTGATTTAATTGATATTCAGTCGTAATTTTGAAATTTGATTGAAATTTGTCAAGAATATATTTTTGTGTTTTATGATGAATTCCGGTGATTTTAACTGACTGTTCCCGGTTCCATTTCGCTCATTTCGACGGGACGCAATTTTTCCGCTTTTTTTCTAACTGCTTGTGTCCTTTAATTTTATTTGCTCTCAAAACGTGTCTGTAATTTTTGCACAAATTTTAATAAAGAGTATGAATTTTACTCTTTTTTACATTTTGATATTGAGAGTTTTTAATAGAAAGGGACTACATATATTTTAGGCTTATTAAAAGGTGTTTGACATTTCAACTTGGAAGGAATTGGATGTTTAATATAGTGTTTTTTAAATGTTGGCATTGATATTAACGTTATGTAAAAAATACTAGCTCAGGTAGAATCTGATATTAAATTAATTACTCATAGTGATTAACTCACCCACACTAATATAAATAAGGGAAAATATCATGATTAACATTTTGAGCCTAGTAGTGAACATATAATGGTGGTGAAATTTGCATATTTGTGAGGACTGACTAGTTTTAACACATTACTCCTACAAAAAGTCAAAATGATCGTTGAAATGCAATAGTTACTTTTTTTACGGTGGGAATTAATTGGTTCCTTAATGTGCTATGGGAAGCGCAAAAAGGTATTTTCTCATTTTACCTGTTTGCAAAGAATATCAAAACAAACGAAGTAGTATTGTTATAATTACGAAAGGATTTTTCGATATACAAGATGCATTAATTAATTAAATTCATTTAAATGTTTGTGTTCTTGAAGTAAGACAAATAATTTATGATGGTAATATATGTGCTGAATGACAAGTAAACATATAATAGTTTAATAATATCTCATACTTAAAAATCATACTTAAAAACAATTATACTGAAATTATTAAAGAATGCTAGGCAGCGGGAAATGATGATGCATAAATCGGAAACAGAGACAAATTCCAATGTTACACTGTCAAAAACTATTAAATCGAAAGACATTGATAAATTATGGCAGCGATCAGTCTATCGTTCAGATATTTTGTATGCTTAAATTGATAAGCATAAAGTTTAAGTGAATATGAAAAGTCTTAGACTACATATACTTTTATGAAAATAATTCTAGACAACAAATAAAGTAATTCGATTTGATAATCATATAAAAAGTTTTAAAAGTTTGTCAAATAAAAGAGAAAAAAAAACGAAAAAACGAGTTAATAAGGATTAGTATGAAATAATTTTAAACATATAAATGACTGATTTAAAATGATTACTGGAATTTTTGAAGCATACTGCAAAATAAATTACATATCTATGCATGATTTGTTCTTGGACAATGCATTTTTGCATAGTTGTACATTCATTCTTTTTTCTAGAATTCCAAAGTCAAGAATTACTAATGAATTAATCAAGAATTCGAGAATGAACAGTGAAGAGGAAGGTGAGAAGGACTCTATCTCATTAACTGAGGAATCTAGCATTGGTGATTTGGTTAGTTAATTATTTTTTATGAGATTTGACGAATAAAATTATGCATTTAATAATTTCAATAATGCAATCAGTAATTAGTTAATTAATTAATAAAGCTATTAAGGTCAAGGATATAGTTAAAAATATATAGTTAATTTTCTAGAGTTGAAACATGAAGAGCAACGTGAAAAAAAGATAAGTTTAGACTAAAACTCATTTGGATTAAAGCTATAGCAGCTTAATTAAGTAATTAATTAATAAAAACATCATTGAAATGATGATTGTATAATTCTTTACATTTAAGCTACTTTTCCTTTTTCAAAGTCAAATAATAAAAGAAAAAAAAAAAAATATTTGAGGTGGATGAATGGATTGATGTTATGCTTAACAAAGGTATAAAAGGTTTAACTGATGAATTCATAGCATTATATTTCTCAACGAAGCCATCACCAAACGATTATAGTATTTTCATGGCTAACCAAAATTCCGGTAAGAAAGCTACCATCACCAAAATTCCGGTAAGAATACTTCTACTACCCTGTTTTCATCACAAAATTCTGTCTCCTTTTACTATCATCAAACTTCCGGTAAGAATACTTCTGTCATCCTGCTATCATTATCATCGTAATATTGATTGTAATGATAAAATAATTGAAATGATCATGTTTGCTTGACTTTTATAATTAATTTTTTTAGGCCCTAATTAATTTGAAGAAATTTGAATTGTAACTATAATTCAAAAGACCGAAATTTTCAATTTCTTTCCGAAAAATAAGGAATAGTTTTTCAAGTTTTCAAAGTATAGAAATGTTTTTAAGGTCGGAATCGTTATCGGAATGTAGTTTGCCTGGACAATTCACGTGTTAAACTTAACAAACATCCATCTGGTAACGATTATATTCACGCAAACTACGTCGGTACACCTTTTTCAGAACGACGTTTCATCTGTACCCAGGTTATTCCATCAATAGCTCTTATTGCTTTTTTATCTATTTTTCTTAGAGCATAATTAAAATATTGATACAAAGAAAATTAAATTCAAATTTAAATTTAATGTTATAAATTTGGCATAAATAAATTTTAAATTCTAGAATTTTAGAGTGAAATTTATGAATACATTGTCAATGAAAATATCATAGAGTGAATGAAATCTTTGTTGATTTGAAGATTTAAGTAGTTTTTTTAATTAAATTGAGCTGAATTGCAAAACTGGAAGTTCTAATTTTAGGCACCATTAGATAGCACGATTTATGATTTTTGGTTCATGATAATTCAAGAGAAAGTAAAATACATTATTATGTTGACAAATTATATTGAAAAAGGTCATATCAAATCGATACCATACTTTCCATCTGAGATTGATAAAGTTGATAATTATAACGGTATCATGGTGAAATGTTTAACAGTAAGTTTAATAAAACTTCAATTGGTCTAAATAAAATCCTAATTAATAATTAACTGATGAAATAGTTTAATTTAATCTTTTTATCATACAGTGGTTTGACTTGTAATTATCATTAAATGACATTCCCTTTTTTTATTTCAACCACTTAATATTTTTTATCTGAAAAATTTCAGTGCGAACGTCGCATAGATTTTGAATGTGAAGTTTGGGAACGTTCGCTAATGATTCAGTCACCAGATATGAAAACAATGATTGTGACACATTTTCATTGGACTGATTGGCCTGATCATGATATACCTAATAGCTATTCCTGTCCATTACATCTTCTTGAAATGGTAATTCCTTCGTATTGTCTATTTCTATTCTTTTTTTTTTTTTTTTTTTTTCAAAATTAAAATATTTCTAATAAAGAAACTATTAAAAAGTGAATAACAAAGTTATGGAAGAATTAGTCAAATATAGTAGTGAACATTTTTTCCTGAAATTAAATGTTAAAAATTTTTAATTCAAAAGCCAACAATTTAAAAAAAAAATTATTACATATTTATTTTAAAAATTCATTTTCTTGTATTTATTATCGATTAATAGTTAGAAAAATCATTATCATAAATAGTATATGTAATTGTTAATTAACAGGTACGAATGTCATCGTCACCAATAGTACTACATTGTTCTGCTGGTATTGGACGTACCGGTTGTTTGGTACTAATTGAATTAGTTCTCGAGAAATTATCATACAAGCAAACTTGCAGTAGTATGAATTTTATGCTTGCTGAATTACGAAAGCAACGTGCTAAATTAATTCAGAATAATATTGTATGTATATTATTCATTATTCATTTATATAGCATTTAAAAATGATTAACAACGTGCGGTAATTAATATAAATACATTAAGTATATTAAATAATTTCAATAAATTTCTTTTATATAAACCTCTTTTTTACATTTTTAGTTCATCGATGTAGCAACTTAAATAGAATTAATTTCACTTTTCTATGAAAACTTTTCTTTTTTTTTTAAATTTTTTGTCAAAGTTTTTTTTTTTTTTGCGCGTTTTGTTATAACAATAATGACCAACAGGAATATTGTTTTTCTCTTAAATTATTTATTTGTTATTATTTGTTGATCAATTTAATAGAAAAACAATACAATTATTGTTTTTATTGAGTAATTTAACAATACATTCCATATGTCAATAATTTTAATATTAATAATAAACCGAGTTAAAAATAATCTCATTTGTTTTACCAAAAAAAGAAATGAATTAATGTAGAAAAGCTAAATCCAATTAATTTTCAATATTAATTTTTGTTAACAACTTAACTTTACAAATGAAAACTACCAAATTTACACTCGTGAATAAGTTGTCCTGCTTGCAGCAATATCTTTACGTGCATCGTGCATTGCTGCATTGTTTTACAGTAGCTGGACGCGTTAAAAAAGTGGATGAAGTGCGCAAATTTATAAAAGATTATGAACAATTCATATTTGATGAAGCTAATGCAAAAAAGAATTTTTGAAATCATTCATTTCAAGTACTCAAATTTTTTTTATCCTGAAATTTATGCATAAATTATTGAATATTTTTACCAAGTTCTCCCCAATAAATTTTAGCTTCTGAAAAAAAAATGAAATCCAAAATATGCTGAAAAAAACTTCAAAAAAATAAACAGATTATGTAAACAAACTTTACGTCATGTACAAAAGTGCATGACGTAAAGTTTCATAAATATAAAACAGAATATATTTTAATTAAAACTATATCTGCTCAATTTACTTAATTTGCTATGTTATAGAAGTCAAATTTTACATTTCATTTCAGCTAATATCAAATCCTAAGCATATCGAAGTAAACAATGATTGAAATAATTAATGCAAATTTTGTAATTTTATACTGATGAAAAAGTAAAAGTAAACAAATTTTTAATGCTTAAATATTGCCATACTATTTAGATTACTTCATAAATAAAGTAAAATTTTGCAAGTTTTATAAATTAAAGAATAGATATCTAATTAATTTAATTGTTTTCAATCATTGATAACCGTTTTTAACAATACACCAAAAATATTTATTTTACAGATTGCTATCATATGAAAATTATAGGTTTAACTTTTGGACACATAATTATGCCCTTGATGTTAAGGCTTATTTAAGTACTATATAGAAAGTGATGCCTATAATTTCAAGGCTCATTTAGGCACAATGCTGTTTGAGCAGTGATAAAACATGATTGAACATTGAACATTATTTCCAAAGGTTGTAAACACTAGAGAAACAGGAATAGTGACTACTTGCATTGCTAGATGACATGGGGGTTGAATTTGTAATAAATAAGCTCACTGAAGCTTAATATGATAAAGTAAGATGTGAACAAGATTTAAAGCACTTTCAAAAGCCGAATTAGCGCTACATGAAATAGCTAAAGTTTCGTGATTTTGTCACAGCAGAGTTTTTCTGAATTCCAGTCAAAATCACTATATCTGCAAAGTATGCTCACCAATTCGATGTTACACCAAAAATAGTTTTAGTTAGCACTGATCAACAAAAAGACTTGAAGTTTTACCTTTCCCGCTGTGCTCATTCAACCTTTCGTCATTTCTCGGGCATTTTAACGAATTTTTTGCTGGAAAAATGATGCTGTTATAATCAGCAAAATATCTGCTAGGATAAGAATTTAAAACATGGATTTTAATGCTTGTCAGGAATTAGCAAACACTAATTTCTTGTTGGACAAAATGATGAATACTTCAGAAGTAGAACGAACTGCGTTAGGAAGTGTTGCCTTTTTCATCATACTGATTTTTCGCTGTTAATTAAGTGCACTGATTACTGTGATTCTCACCTAAATTAATAAAGATAATTAGTGACTAATTACAATGATTTAAAATTCATAAACCAAAAGTGTAATTATTTTTGTACCAAATTTACCGCAAATATTTTCTCGTTTCTATATTCCCACTCTTTCATTTCATTACTGCACAATGATGAAACTAGAACCAATTTGTCTTTAAACATTTATATTGTATATCAGATTTTGTTTAGAATTTCTTATCAATGAGATCATACGAATATAGCAGTCTTAAAGCATTTCAATACAAGCTGAAAATTCAACAGATCATTTATAACAAACCATCTACGATGATCCAACAAAATAGAATCCTAGAATAGTATGACACTGCAGCAATGAATCAGCGAATCAGAAGTTTCAACTCTAACGGATCTGTATGTGATTAGTGCAGTAGTGAAACTCACGAATATTACACTGATTCGATCTCGCATGATTGTAAAAAAGAAAATTCGAAGTCGGAAAACAACAAAAACTGAATAAATTTAACTTGCTTTAATGTAATTGAATAAACTTTTAAGTAATTAAGTATTTAAGTAATTAAAATAATTTTGGCTTTGAAAAGCTGAACTGTTTCACAAACATTTCACAAATTCAAACATCTCACTCTTCGTTATGAACTGATTATCTTTGATAGTTATGTCTGCCAAAAAAGCACAAAGAGTCTGTCCTATTATAGCCATTCACATCTTCGCTTTAAAAATCTCATCACCAACCAAAATTTAACGAATAAATTTCTCTCCAGTTAAAAAAAAAAAAAAACAGATTTTAATATTTTCATGGTTTAAAAAGAATGAAATTAATCATTTTATTACTATCTCAGCTTTTCAAAATAATACTTGGATATTTAACAATCGTAATTATTAAAACTGTCTGCTAAAAGAACGAAGATCATACCGATTTAAAATGTAATGTTAAGCAAAATGGTAAATAAGTCTGAAATATTTTTATAAAGCAAAAGAGATTTAATTTTGCAACCTCGTCAGGTTTATAAAAATCTATTTTTATTAAAATTACTGTCAAAATTGGCTGGAAATGATATCAGCTGAAAAGTTTCAACCATATTAATGCTCAAACAAATAAATAAAATCAAATTTTATACTATAATTATGTTGAATCTTATTACTTCAACAGTTGATAATTGTGCCAGGTCAAAAAAAAAAAATAAATAAATAATCATAACTATTTTGCTGGAAGATGGAAGATCCTGTAGACTGACAGAATAATGTCAGGGAAAATGTTAAATAAGTTCAAAATATTTTTATAATTCAAGGGAAATTTTGTTTTGCTACCTTATCAGTATTTTGTAATTCATATTTTTTACCAAATTCATTGTTAAAATTGATTCTAACAACTAGAGTAAAGAAACAATTGAGCAATACCTTTTAATTAATTTGCATTAAATTTAAACATGTTTCAGAAAGACGAGTATGATCCAGATCCAAATCGCTGAACAAAATTAATAAAAAACAATAAAAGTGACAAAAATAAGTGCAGAAACAAATGTAATGAAAAAAGATCCGGAATGCAACTAATACAAAATATTATGCGATAAAAAATATAATTGAAATTAATGGAAAAGCATGAGTAAACATAAAAAGCTGTAAATAATATGAAACATTGTCCAATATAAAAAGTGAAGCATGTAAAAAAATCGTACGAAAATAAAAAAGTATAAAATAACTAAATAAAATAGCATGCATTAACAGAAAATATAAATTGCTGAACAAAGTTAATAAAAAAAAAAAAAAAAAAATCTGAAAAAAAAAAGAAACAAAAACGAGTGCAAAAACAAAAGCAATGAAAAAAGATCCGGTATGCAAAACAACATAAAATACTATCTACTAAAAAAATATAAGTGAAAATAACAGAAAGCATGCAATTACTAAACATACAAAAATCCATATAAGACGTAGAATGAACAAAGTTAACAAGAAGCATGCAGTAAGTTATAAGTAATCAAAAATACATGCAAAAATAAACAAAACAAAAAGTGGCTAACAAAAATACCAACAGTGAAAATAGAAATAATACAAAATATCACTGCACAAACTGTCTTTTAAAGCATCGATATAGAAAATCGTTTTGATATATTATAAAGGATAAAATTTTACCAGAAATATGATTTTACCAGTAAGAGATCAGAGTATAATTATATTTCTTTAACAAATTATAGGCATATAATCATTTCTAACGTTATTAAAATTACAAATTACCGATGTTGTTATTTCTTTGTTCTTGGAACCATCGTGTATGGTTCTGCCTGTGGCACTTGCAACTCCTTCGGAGCTACTCCGGAAATCCCTAAGTGAAACTCATCCGGCGTCGCCGTAGCCAAAGATTCCTGAATTGCAAGGACCGTCTTCGTCTTTCTGAAACATGTTTAAATTTAATGCAAATTAATTAAAAGGTATCGCTTAATTATTTCTTTACTATACATTTACTACAAAAATTAAAAGTTGAAGTTGCTTAAATTACTTACTTTAATTATTGCTTTATTGTATATTTGCTACAAAAATTAAAACTTACAGGACGAATTCGCAGACTGACTCAACTGGTTCCTCCGTGCTCTGCCTCTTCATCAAATTCTGGCTCCTGAGGTGCGGCGTCTTCCTCCATTTCTTCCTGGGCATTTCGCCCTTCCAATTCATCCAGCCCTGTCTGCACCTCGTCCAAGAGGATCATGAGGGACCGTTCAAATTGAATATGATATAGAGAAATTTAGAGTCATATTTTAAATTTAAGGTGAAAAATTCTGGAACGTTTTTTTCTTCAAACCGTCATCAATTCTATCAAAAGGAGAAAAAAAAAAAAAACGTATGAAAAGAAAAAGATAAGCGCAATAAAAATAGCTGAATTGTATCACAACTATCACAAATCTCTGTAGTGCGCGAAATATTACAGACTCCCTTCTCAGGAAATTAAAAGCAGCCTGGAGATCCTGATTATCTTCCATAGGAGATGTTATTCTACAAAATTAACAAATTTACTGAATATTCATCTTGTAAAAATTTTGAAGATTTAAAAATATTATTTTTTGGGAGACGTTGTTGATTTCGGGAAGATTCGCTGGATGAGATGTAAATTTGTGGAATAACAGAGGAATAAAATATTTTCTTTATTAGCAGAAACAATAATACAATAATTCGATAGAGACGAGTCGTAGTGGCATCACAAATTTGTCTAGAAGCGAGACGTAGTCGTAGCCCAAATTGTCGAGAGCGAATCCGTAGTTTTTTTTTACAAAAGTTGTGGAGAGGCGAAACGTAGTTCACTTATCATCGTTCTTAGATCAAACAAACAATACTTCCTTTTTGGCGCTTGGTGAAAACAATGCCAATTTATTGATGATACAAAATAATGACGCCTTATTAGTGATCTCCTTATAGCATTACTCTGGAAGCCGATATAGTAAAAAAAAAATAAATTCCAAATGTAATAAAATTTCAAAAACACAAATTCAAGCGATAAATTAATGAATTTCTATATATTTTTAACACAAAAATGAATTTTACTGATTAATTTCAGCCTTTTAATGCTTGAAAATTTCTAATGGTTAGAATCAGTTTTGACAATGAATTTGGTAAAAAATATGAATTATAAAGTACTGATAAGGTAGCAAAACAAAATTTCCCTTGAATTATAAAAATATTTTGAACTTATTTAACATTTCCCCTGACATTATTCTGTCAGTCTACAGGATCTTCCATCTTCCAGCAAAATAGTTATGATTATTTATTTATTTTTTTTTTTTTGACCTGGCACAATTATCAACTGTTGAAGTAATAAGATTCAACATAATTATAGTATAAAATTTGATTTTATTTATTTGTTTGAGCATTAATATGGTTGAAACTTTTCAGCTGATATCATTTCCAGCCAATTTTGACAGTAATTTTAATAAAAATAGATTTTTATAAACCTGACGAGGTTGCAAAATTAAATCTCTTTTGCTTTATAAAAATATTTCAGACTTATTTACCATTTTGCTTAATATTACATTTTAAATCGGTATGATTTTCATTCTTTTAGCAGACAGTTTTAGTAATTACGATTATCAAATATTCAAGCATTATTTTGAAGTGTAAATGATTTCATTAGTTTCTTTTCTTTTTTGAGTTTTTTCTTCCTTTTTTTTTAGCACAGATCAAATTCTGTTTCTAACACAAAATAAACTTTTATAGTAATAAATTTCAATATATATATATATATATATATATATATATATATATATATGGCAAATTAAATTTACTTGTAAATTTATGACTTGAAAGTAATAACCTAAGTTATAAGTACGATTCGATTATCTTGCTTATAACTTGCTGAATGCTTTTTTTGCACTTACTTAGCCATTTTATTTCCATTATTTTTGCATGCATTTTCGATTACTTATAACTTGCTACGTGCTTTTATTAATCCCTTCTAGTTAATATTTTAATGATTTGAATTATGAAGTTCAAAATGAATTTTGAACTTACTTAACATTTAGTATGAACTAGACCTTCTTCAAATATGTTCTCTTGGCAGTATCTTGATAATTAATGTTTGAAATGCTGATGAATTGATAGCATTATAATTGAACTTCGCATAATTATTTATGTACTTAAAATATTTGAAGTTTTCTAATTAACATTATTTTTCATCATTTTGCTTTTCAGAAAAGCAAATCAATTTAAAATGGAATGAATGAATGAATGATGCGTTGTTATATTTTGATGCCACCAATGTAACACTGATTTGATTAATTTGAATATTGAAAATTATCGAAATCTTCTTAGCAGACATCATTTTAAGTCATTTGAACAATGAAATTAATAAAAAAAATGAATTTAAAAACCTATTTTAAATTGAAAAACACTAATTCAAGCAGAGATTGAAATTTCGCATTATGTTGTAATACAATCATTAATAAAATTTATAAAATAATTAGTAAATCACAAAATGCATGGCAATGAGAAATGTGAAGAGAAAAAATAAAAGAAAGAAAGGATGATATAAGGTTGTTAAAGTGATTGTTCGATTAGGGACACACAGGATCAACTAACATATAGGTGAAGAAACTATCATAGTAATGGCCTCACCATTCCAGTGGAATGCAAATTTCAAGAATAGAAGCGTGTCACATAAGTGAACGATGACTGGACTCAGAAACATAGTGTATAAGCCATAAAGATCAACGTGAAAATACAAGAATAACGAAATAATAGTGGTAGTTAACATTACTGTTGTTGCTATTAGCAATTTTCTTGTTGTTGACCTGTAGGCAAATAATATTAATATCGGATAAATAGATATTTACTGTTAACTGGGGGTTGATGCAGTAACGAGAAAAACATCTGTTATCATTGAATAATAGATGCTTTATCTGATATTAGTATAATTTGTCCAGAAAGCTATTTACACGATACAGATCAAATCATTTATCACTTATTAACAGGTGCTTTTCCGATATCCTTTATTTACTTACAGTTGATTTATACATTATCAAATCATTAGTTATCACTGAAAAATTATGTCATCTTTCTTTCCAATCATTGTATCAATTTGAATAGCGCTACGAATTATTTTCGTAAGTAAAAATTGAAAAAATTAAATCAATTACTCAAAGAAAATATGCAATTAATATTTTGACTCTGAAAATATAAATGACAATTTGGAAATTTCTGTATGAAATAGTTAGTTATGAAATTAAATGTTGAATATGATTTACATATAAAACCCAATTTATCAATTCTTTAGAGGTTAATTTTTGATAAATCACGTTAAATTTCAATTTTTTTTTTCTAAAAATCTACTACCAGTAATAACTGAAATACAATCTACAAAATTTTCTCTGGAAAAAATAAAAAAGAATAACACTTTTTTAAATTTTAAAGAAGTTTCGAGAAATTGGCGAAAATTTTTGTTATTTATTAGTTGCAATATATCAGCATGAATCATTTTTGAGAGCGAACTTATACACTAACATTGTTGAATGTTAAGAAAATATTGAAAGCGTCTTAAAAAGAAAGAAAAAAAAAACCAATAATCTCTAAGTTTATAAATTATTTCTAAGTTTTTTTTTTTTACTTTGCTCTGATGAGCAAAGTAAAAAATTTCACTTTTCTGTTTTTTTCTGTCTTTTTAAGCAAATGGCCTTTAAAAAATTAAAAATAAGTTAAAAAGCTAGCCGAAATATTCATCGGTTTATTCACCTGATAATTTATTGCTGTACATTTTCTTTCTTTTAAAACAAACTTCAATAGAAAGGAAGTTAAAAGTTATTCTACTTCATGCGCTCAAATAAAGATCAAAAAACAACGAAGAAAAAAAAAAGTGATATCTACTAAATAATTCTTTAATAAATTATTTTTACTTATGTTTTTCATCCTTTTTTGCAAAGAATTTATCTAATAAAATATGAAATGAAAAAAGATATGATATGAAATAAATAAATGGTCATAAATTAAAATATTTTTTATTATTTTATGTAGAGTTTCATTCACAGACATAATAACAATGTAAAAGAAAAGAAAGAGTGGAAAGTAGGGTTAGTCAAATCAGAAATATGCATAATCTTTTAATTCATATTTTTGTTTTTTATACACATTTATTCATTTGTTAAAATTTTTTTTTAAATTAATTTATTCAGATTTATTCATTGTTAATTAATTATAAAAAATTATAAAAAAAAATATAAAATTTACATATTAATTATAGAAAATTCTAAGAAAAAGAAAAAGAAAAAACTAAGAATTCTTTTCTTTTTAAAGAGAATATTAACAGAAATGATAAGTTAATTAAAAATAAACAATTTTGTTAGTAAAATTGTTTTGTTTCAATACAGCATGAAATTAATTGATCATTTGTCGCATATCATTTTCTTATTTGATGATCATGGTGAGCGGTGTGATATTTATACTTTTGCTAAGAACATTTGCGCTATGGCGATGTTTAATTACAACATTTTTACTAATTCTTAGCGTCGTTATATGGGTATTATTCGAGTGTTCACGTAAAAAGCTTGAATTAACACCAGCTGTACCACTTGTTAAAGGACAAAAACATTTAGAATTGGTTAGTTGGAAAAATTGAATGAAGGAATATGCAAAACTTTTGATGAAGTTATAATTGCTTAACTATTTGTAATGACTATTTAAGTAAATAAATATAATTAATAGCTATTACTTACAGATTATTTAGGCTTTTTTTCGTGAAATTTTAAATTATGTAGATTAATAGTCTAAAGATTATTATTGATTATTTGGACTCTGATTAAAAATGCAACGAGAAAAAAGATGACACTCATTTTTATTTTTATTTTTTTAAACAGAAAGAGTCGGAATTAGTATAAAAACAGCTTACATTTAGCTCATTTCTTGCGTTTTTTTATTCTTTTTCTCTTTTTTAAGGATGAAACGCAAAGAAGCAAAGGTTCACAAATTACAGCTTCAAATGTAAAAAACCCATTAAAGCCACTTAAAATATCATTACCGGAAGGTTAAATTTTATTAAAATGATCGAAATTTTGTTGGGAGAAAAAGGAATGAAATATTTGGTTTTCATTTCATATTGGTTAAAAAAATTATTGGGATGATGAAAGTAGTCAGAACAAATCAAAATTTCTAATTCAAATTAAAAAAATTTCCATTCAATTTGACAACTTAGAAAA